TTGTACCAGTTTCTCGGTCATCAGTGTACCGATGCACTGAAGAAATCAGCAGTGCTTTAAATGAACTAGTTTTTTTTTTAACAGATTTAATATTTCCCAAGAAATTTTGAAGAGCTAAATGCAGTCACATAATAAAAAGTGTCATTCCATGATACAAAATATTATTAGCATCATGCTGTCATTCATCGTTCATTTTAATTTAATTGTAACGTTGCCAAAATAAGAATGTTAGAACATTCACAAATAATTGCGAATGGGTTTCACGAATCTCATTTTAGAAAAGTATGCGTAAGAGAACCCCGCAAAGTTGAGTATACGTTTAATTGCGAAGGATGTTAATAATACCACTGCAGGTTTGCAATAATTCTTATTTTGGCATGGAATTTATTTGCCTCTAATTATAATTATTGTCACTAATTAACAGTGGCTGACGTTGTTTTAGAAATTTGCAATATCTCTCTAATATCTAGATTTTTTGTCCTATTTTTGGGTCTACAAGAAAACTTTCATTAACCTCTTTGCTATTACGGAAAATTTATAATTGCAAATTTACAGAAAATGCAGTGACCTACTTTTATAAAAGCTGCTTTCATGTAGGTATACGGTTAAAGGTCTTTATTGAACTACATTCGTTATGGTAATTCTGTTAATCTACACTTTTCATCTCAATATTTCGCATTTCAAGTGTGAATTAATAGAGCCATGACATCAATACTTTTCCCAAAAACGTTATCCTGGAGTTGTTACATTTTAAACATACTCATTAATTATTTTAATTTTTCAATACAAGTTGCGCAGTTGTTTCTTTCAGTGAAAATGAATCATCAAATCGGGCAAATGATGTAGTGAAGTACTAAATATCGGTTATAAACCCATGTAAAAAAATTAAGGTACGTTTGTGGTTTGTGTCTGTAAAGGCCGTGCAAGAGAAGAGAGAAGTCTGAACAAGTCTTCCCAAATAAAGACAAAATAAAGTTACCCGACAGGTGCTGCCTTTAGTTAGCACAATACGTAACAAATATACGTTTTGCAGTTTAGCATCCGCGAATAAAAAAGTATTTTTCTAAACTCGCATTTTATTTGGAAGGCGGAATAATTCCATTGAAAAATAAAGATAAGCATTTCAGTTTATATAGTTATAATTTACCT